TATTAAGTGTGTCAGATGGCAGGATATTTTCTGGACATGGTTATTATGTTAAAACATACTGAACATGTGTCACTTATAACCTCGTAGTAACATCACAGCTCCAGAGAAAAAAAATGGTGCATCAATTCTTTGTATCAAATAGTCATACACACAGCTTTCCTTCTCACCAAGCTGTCACTTCTCATTTTAAAAGGTTAGAGTAAGTTATAATTAGTATTTGTTGCCCTGTCAACTAATTAAATATAATAAAAAGCTTTCTGTGAGTTTAATGCTAACACAGTGTAATTACAGCAGTTTTGAATGCACAGTGCACGTACTACAGGTTTTGGTATGTGCTCCCCACCTTTTATGACCTAAATTCTCAGGTTCAATCTATCATAGGAGTAGTGAGCAGACACTGCCAAAGACAACTATTTCAGACCTAAAGACAAGTTAACATCAATGCAGTCCTATACTTTTTGAGAGGCACTACTGTATTAGCCTTTGGGAGCAGGGTGAAAGGAAGAAGGAAGCGAAAGTCATCCAGTTCTTTGCCTCCACTTTTCTACCCCTTCCCTTCAGGAGGAAACCTTGGTTCTATAAGCTCCCCTAATGAATTCTCCCATTTATTAGGCTTGGCTGCTCTGAGCCTTTTTGGTAAAGAAAGATATGGCTAATATTTCAAAACCACTTCTCAGACTTTACCAGTCTGAGAGATATCCTGGGAAGAGGGGGACTGCACCTCGCCTATTTGCACAACTCTGGGGCTGGCTCTACTCTTCAAGAAGTAAGAGTTGCACCTTACAACCACTTGTTACCCAGGGGAGGAAGATTATTTGCAAGGCCCAGAGCAGGGCAAAATGATGATGTAATGCACCAGCACTTGGCTGATACAACTCCTTACCCTCTTAAGTATTTGGAAGAGCTTTAAACACATTAAAAAAGGTGAAGAGCAGAGATCTGCCAGGGCATTGGTAGTGACATCTCTAGGTAGTCAGTTGTTGTGCCTGTAATGTGGATTTTTCACCTATTCCCATTCATACTCCTCTCAATTACTGTCCTGTCCCTAGAAACATTCAAGGTCAGTTTGGATGGGGCTCTGCAGAACCTGATCTAGTGGAACATATCCCTGCTTATTGCAAAGGCATTGGACTAGAAGACCTTTGATGGTCCCTTCCAACTCCAACCATTTTATGATTCTGGGTAAGGTAGGTAAAAACAGCCCACAAAACGAAAATACAGTTAATTAAACAAAAAGGTAGTCTAAAAGAACCAATTAAAATGATGAAAATCTTTAATTTTATTTAAGTATAATTGTACGGACACGTGTATATACAAATACAGATCTTATGGGGCAGGGCGTTTGGGTGTTTTGTTTTTTTTTAACATTTTCTTTTAAGTTTATATAATGTAAGCATTTCAAAAACAGCACTCAATGAATAAGTGCAAAGAAACTGCAAAGCAGGGCAGTACAAGCACAGGACCACACTGAGCTGGACTTTCATACCCAGATGCATACACAATGAGTGTCTTCAATGGGGTGTCAAGAGTAAGCATGGTAAGCGGATTTCGCAGACTCATGGGTAACCTCCAACATGCCAGCATCTATTAAACTGTACAGACAATGGCAGCAAGCCTATTGTAGGGAGATTTGTCTCACATCTGAGAAGCTCGAGGGCGAATGCATGGGAAAAACTCAGTGATGCCAGACCAGAAACAGATCTGCCCATTCACAGCTCCAAATTAAAAAAGGAGGAGGGTGGGAGAGGAGGCAGGGCAGGAAGAGGGAAGAGAAGTGTGGAGGGTTGTACATTAAAACTGGTGATTACAAAATCCAAGTGTAATGAAAAGAGGGGAAGAGTTAATACCAAACCTCTGAAAATGGCTGAACCATTGCACTCATAAGGCAATGAATTAGGTTCAGTTTTGAGGGCTAGGGGCGGGAATCAATACAACCATTTTCCTTCCATAATTATAGAGGAAAGGAAACAATCTACTCAACTACTCTCAGTACTTCCCAAATTTGTTTCTAGTTCTTTTGAAATCAAGTACATACATATATCGCACATGACACTGGCAAGATCCCTTCTGGAAAAAACTATTAATGGGAACAAATCCAGAAGGAAAAGAGGAGGAAAAAAAAATTAAAAAGAAAGAAACAAACAAAATAACAGAAAAGCTGTTATATCCCCAAAGCCTTTTTAGAAACAAATATGATACAAAAGAACAAAACTAACACAGAAACCACAGGGCTCCAACATAAGACCTTTAAACACCGAGGATAAAACATTGATCATCAAAAGTCATGTTGTTCCAGGTCTTGACATTGTGAAGTCTTGCAACAGATGAACGATTTTCGAAGATGAGTCCTGTATGCTGCAGTGTCATGGCCACTTGTCTCTCAGTTCTCAGCCATGATCACACTTGATGCTTCAAAGCTCTGTCTTGTAATCAACACGTGATTTTAATATCCTGAAAGTCTATTGTTCTCACTTACAAAAGACATAAGAATCAAATTAATACTTTATTATCAAACACTATATACAACAGAGGTTGCTAATAATACAGAATTTAAAGAACATAGCTTTAAGTTTTACTTGTCTTTCCTTTGCCATCCAGGTAAGTACAGTACAAAACAATAGTCTAAACTAACACGAAATGTTACCTTATCTATTGAAGGATACACAGTATCCACTAAACTGACTGATCCCTATTTTCCTGCTTCACATTGCAATGTCCTTGGCAGCCAGGAGTGCAGGTCATGGGTGTAAGTAACCCACTAAGGCTGGGGAGAATCAGTACCTCAGACTTGAGCAGGGGCAGATGAAGGGTAAGGGAGCAACAGGCTCCTTAATTTTCATCAACATCTGCATTTAAAGCATCCAGAGGTTTGCAAGACAAAACCCACCAACATTTATGTATTTAGTATGACTGGGATTGCCTAATGCCATCAAGCATGAAACTGGCAGTGGCTGGAATGCTGGGCAGCCTGGGGATCATCACTAGTGTTGTCCCTCACGTATGCAGCAAGGCTCTGGGACCATGTGAAGGGGTGAGTTTCACCAGGAGTAACGCTAGTGACAGTCCTCTGCTGTGGGTAAATGGATGTCTTCAACATCATTCAGAGACAAAGGATGACAAATGTCACCATTTCTACATCAAGTTTGCACTACTTGTGTGACTGCCTGCAGTTACTGTAAATCACTTTAATATAGTTACACATCATGCAATATTATCTGTACTCTGGTTAATAATCCATTTGATAAGGTGCATTCTGATTAAGCTCACCTCATCCAAAGCTTTTTAATTCCTACCTACAGAAAGTATTAGTGTATGTGTATCAAGTATATACACCTTAAAGAGAGCAAAGTACCGTACAGCCTGTAATGAGATGATGACTTCCCTCACTGTTTGGACTGTATCTTTATTCTGTGCACTTCACACTAGAGTGAACTTCCTGCATTCCTCCTATAAGTATAGGTCCTGTATTCATGAACATGTATGATATCAGGCAAGCCCAGGTCATAGCTCAGCATGCATAAAACCTCCCTTTATATACCAAATTTATTTTCCCCTCCCCTGCCTCAACTTCTGGAAGGCTTTTCTTCATTTAAAAATATAAAGTCTATGAAGTGGTGTCCACTAATGGCATCAGTCAATTTTATTACTGCAGAAATTTTCTTCATAATTAATATAGAAAAATCTTGTTTTGCTTGAATATGCCCCATGTTTTGTTTCACCTTTAACTTAATTACCACAGTTTTGTCAGAAAAGCTCTGTTTCAGTCTGGGTCTGAAATTTCACTGATTATGTTTAGCAGTACGAATTTCATGGCAGCCTAGCCAAAAAATACCCCAAGGCTTGCACTTCCTGGCAAATTACTTCTTAAAGTTTTGTTAGCCAAGGCTCAGATTCCTTAAACAGGGTCACTCCTAATTCCATCAAACAAGACAGTCCCATTTCCTAATTGCATCAAGGGTTACCGCTTCTCTCATGTTTAAATAGGACAAGCATATATACTCACTCTCAGCATAAAGAATATCTAAATAATGTATTTTCTATTCTAGTGGATTTTTAAAAAAATATTTTGTTAAGTCTTTGGGAGCCCATCTAGTTTACTCTGGCTGATAAATACGTTTCCTCTACTCTTCAAACTGTGCTGGAAGGGGAAAAGATAAAAAATCAACCTTGAATTAATATTCCACACTTTTCTTTTCCCCCACCAAACAATGCTATTAGACAGCCCTGGCTTCTTCTACATGTGATTTATTCCCATGATTGAGGAACTTACAGGAGAGACAAATCAAGAGAACACTGGAGATCCTGTGTCCCAAACATGTTTCCTCTGACCACTGATGTCCTCTTTTAGCATGTATTAACACCCAGAGCAGCATCCAAGGCTATCAGCTACTAAGTCAGCGCTGGGGAAGGTCACTTTATTCTCAAAAGTGCCTCTGCATTTCAAGAAAAAAATTTTAGCACCACGGTGATTTGTTTTAAAATAAAATAAGCCGGTGTGCATTATCCCCTTAAAACGAAATAACAGAGGCACTCACACCCCCAGTGAAGTTTCCTAAATCTGACCTTGCCTGCTGTGTGTTAACATTCCTAAAAACTAACTTCTTCCTCTCACTAAAGACAGCATTTCTACTTGTGAGCAAAAATGTTACTGTCAAAGATGTTTCAAGAGTCCCATAAGAAACATCATTTTCCCCTTTCAGAAGCTGGTTCATTTAGAAACTTCTGGAGGAAATGGTGTTATGTCTATTCTTAATATCTCCCCTCCAGTCCTGACATGGTGACACAATGCCTTGCATGACCATCTTACAGTGCTGAACGAGAAGGCATAAATATTTTATCACAGAGAAAGACTCTCCCAGGTTTTCATTCACTTTCCTTATCCCTCACTGACTGCATCTGCCACTACACTTTCTCGTCCACATACGTATGACAGAGTGAGCTAACAAAGGTGACTTCTTAAAGGAGAATGCAGAAGAAAATAAGAATCACTAGTGTCACTATTATAGTTTGGCATTTTCATTTGGAGTCCTTTTATTTATATGGAGGGGTTAAGAAAGTCACAGGGTAGGTAGGGGTGGGTGCTGAAGCTAGTTATCCCCTTCAAATTTTTGCTGAGTTCAGGCTAAAAGGGAGAAGAAAAGAGAAAAATAACAATTTGACATCTGCAAAAACAATAAAGTCCCTTTCCTGGGATGAGCAGTTAGGTGGATCTTTGATGTTCCAAGACCCTGGTATTTTCTGTGACAGGTTGCCGGAGCATACTGTGCTATAATATCAAAAGCATTGCCAGGAGGAACAATAGAGTTGCCAAAAGCCGGCTGGGTATCCTTGGTGTCTGTGCTGCGTTCTCACCACGGGATGGCTCGGCTGACTCATGTACGGTATCATCTGTTCAAACAGAAAGCATACATTCCAATGAGATTTTGCATCCTTAATAAACTCTCACTGAGCCGACAACTATAAGTAGATTTCAGTGCCTTTATGAAATAGGGCAATGAACCTTGTGCTGTCATTGACTTTCACAAGCGTGTAATACCTCATTATGTAACCAACTTGGGGCCAAGTCCTGCATTTCTTACTGGCAAAACTCCCATTGAAGACCAGAGGAATAGAAAGTAAGTCAGCTTTCAGCAGATTGAGGAATGAAAGATTCCTCTTCAGTAAAACACTGTGGTTCTAGTTTTGGATGTCTTATTAGATAGCAACATCAGTCGGGAGGCAGCTAAATAAAAACATCTGATTTTCAAAAGTGTTGCAGAGGCCCAGAATTAATTTTGCAGTTAGTGCCCTTATTCGGTTACAGATTTTGGCTCCTGAACTTGAAATGACAGCCTGTAAGCCCAAGCACAGACCCCCCCTTCTGAAGTGTGTTGCATCTAGGGGTGAGCAGGAGATGTAAGATCATTCCTTCTTCCTTGAAATAAAATTTTAAAGGCTAACATATGACAGTCACCAATTTTATAGAATATATACTCAATCTGGAAAATCTCACAACCTTTCATTGTACACAAAATAAAGATTTACATATATGCTGCTAGAACTAATGAAAAAAGAACCAGCTGAGTTAGGAAAACATGCTTATGCATTAGTGGCAGAAGAAAACAAGGTAGCAAATACTAAATATATGACACATAATAAAGAAAGCTCTGTTTAGTTTTTGTAAACTTAGGATCAGCCTAAAAGCCCAGAGCTTATAAAACAGAAAAGGTAGGCAAAGTCAAAATCAAGTTTGGTGTTGTTATAGCAGTGGTATTTTTCTCTGCAAAGCCCTCTATATCCAAAACTATCTAATTTAGCTATTCAAAAACAATCAATCATGGCTTGTCATAAAAAATAAGGTCTTGTTTTTCATTACTAAATGAAAAGAAAAAGCCAAACCTTTTTAGGAAGTGTGAAGTGGTGTCAAAATGTATCTGTAAGTTTATTTTAGAACGCCAAAGTTTCCAGCATAGTATCTCATCTACTAATGAAATGAGCTCCCTATTTTATAAGAGATGTCAAGATGTCTATGATGTTCCTTCTCAGCTCTCATCTCAAAAAATTGCACTGCCAGGATCACACTGGGTGAGACCTGAGCAGTTCCAGCTAGAGGCAACTAAGGGAAGCAAGAGTCAGGACTCTGGGATCACCGTGCTGCTTTGTCATGGAGCCTTTCATGTTACTTGGTTTTAGCCACAGGCAAACTCCCTCCCTTACATATCCTTGACACCTAGCACAAAATCAGGAGAGCACTTAGCATAATTTAGGTTAATAGGCTCTTCAGACCCAGCTCAGTTACACAGCAAGGAGCACAGTAAACCGAATTAGCAATTTATCACATGTACTTTCTCCAGCATTAATTGATGCTATAATCACATAAGGCTTATCAACAGGTTTCAGTGCTGCTCAAGGCAAAAGTATGAAAAGCAAACACTGATTAGCTGTAAATATGTTCATGAAAGAGACATCTCTTCTTGGTGGTGCCAAACAATAGCATAAGAGGCAAAGGGCAGAAACTGATACATGGAAAATTACACCTGAAGAGGAGGAACTTCACTGTGTGGGTGACTATGCATTGAACAGTGTGTCTAAAGAGGCTGTGGAGTCTTCCTCAGTGGAGATAGTCAAAAGCCATCTGGATATAACCCTTAGTACCGTGCTCTAGGGGACCTGCTTGTGTACAGAGGTTAGATTAGATGACCTCCAGTGGCCCCTTCCAACCTCACCCATTCTGTGATTCTGTGGCAACAGTGGGAAAGTCTGGCTAGAATGGCCTTAGTTGAAGCTCCACACCATGTACGGAAAGGAGACCCTCCCAGGCATATTGGGCCCAAATGAGGCCCTAGTCTTTTCCTCCAGAATTATTCCAAAGGAATATAAAAATATCACTGAATGCTGGCTTCTGGAAATGCTACTTTCAGTAATCAACATGAAAAGCTGTTTCACATTTCACTTCTGAGTTACAGCCTTGTGCTATGGTGACACTGCAATGACAATAGAGTACTTCACAAAAGCTTGCTTCTCTGCTAAACATATTTAAGAAGTTACAGGGAAAAAATACTCCTGCATTGCCAGTTCTACCTCCTTTCATATATTTAAAGTTAGCTCTTCCCAATTTAGAAACATTTACTCACTGCTGATGAACTAAAACTACAGAGAAGAATGATGTGTACTACTTTCTACCTCTAGGATTGCAAATAAGTTTGAATTTTCAACACTGAATGTCAAAATTTTGGCCTAATTACATCAGTGAGTCAGCACTAAAACACAATCGGGCAGAACTAGTATATAGCAGTAATAAATCCTCATTCACTGACTGACTATCAGATACTGCCACAACTGGAACACTGACTACTGCTGAAAAACTCAATGAAAAACACTAAGCTAAAAAGATTACTTCTCTTAAATGAAAAATATGGAGACATTCTATGATGCCATTTTTATAAAGCCCTTCTTCACAGAAGAATTAATTTCCATGTAACATTAAGGGATTCCTTTTGAGAAATCATCTGGCTTTCTCTCAATGCTGTTGCAAGGTTTCTGCACTCATATATTAGAACACGATTCATCTGGAGTTATGAAAATCACTTTACAAATATGATTTTCCTTGGAGGTGCAGAGTCATAACTGCACAGTCTTTAAGGCTTGGGGAAAAGGGTTTGCTTCATTTGAAACATTGAAGACAATTGATGAAGAGAAAAAGATTACTGAGCAAAATCCAGAAGGTCACTACTAAACACTGGGAATACCATCAATACAGAAAAAAATATTTTGACAGCCATGAATTTTTCAGATCACACAGCCTTATGTCGCGTGCTGCAGGTGTAACTTTCAGATATGCACAGCTGCAATTTTTGTTTAAGGACATTTTTATTATTAATGAGAAAGAGAAAGGAAAGAATAGGAATAGAGACAATTACTTCCACCACTTGTGAAAATGCAATCACTGTAGATTCCTACAAATTTCTGAACAAAACCAGTGAAATTATAAGGGTTCAAAAATCACACAAATGGTGATTTTTAAAAGAAAGATGACAGTGAGTAATCTGCTGAACATGATAGTTATCTGCCTTCCGTTTCTTGTGTCTACTGTGGAAGAAGACTGTGGCAGGCTAGGGGAGAGCACAGAAGCAGAAGATGCTCGTCAGAGACATGTAAATTAGTACATGACGCAGAACACATGCAACAGGATCCACCAAGGCAGTAGCAACCCTAACAGGCCAACAACAGAGAAATGCGACAGCAGTTGGCACATCTCAGAGTGACTGATTATTTAATGGTGACTGGCCCAATTAATAATACAAATATGTGTTGATAGCAGGAGTGGGAATTTTGTGGTATCAAACCTTCTCATTAAAGCTATTATTTCCCCCTGGTAACACAAACAGTATTTCATCTTAGACTGCAGGATGCTCTTTGTTTGATTTTGCTTTCCTGGTTTTCCTGCTGCTTTCTAATGACTTTGTGATGATGTTAGCTAGTTATAGCCAATCAGTAGGAAGTGAGAAACACTGCTGAAACAAAAATTTATCAAGTTTACCAAAATCAGGCATGTATTACTCAGATGATCTCTTTTGCAAGCAGTATCAGGCATATTAATTAGACCATGTTCACCAAATCACAAAGTGTAAAAAAGTGCAGTGAATTTCCAATTCATAGGTAGAAACAGTGAGAGAACATCCTAGTCTCTTCTGTAGAAGAATGCTGCTAATAAATGTATAAATATAGCCAATGCAAATGCACTATGCATGCATTTAAATTTTCTTAGAGAACATCTTTGATTCGCAAACTCCAAATTTTTAGGAAATATCTGAAAAATATTTAAAAGAAAAATAATAAATTCTATTGCTATCTATATCTATAGGTAAATCATTTAAATCAGCTAAATTGTAAAAGCCTTATCATACTTATGTATAACAAATGAATTTTAATTAAAGGATTTGCATATAAAGAAGAGAAAAAATATGTTGCCTTATACGCAAAGAGAATGTTGCTTCAGATTCAAATAACATAAGAGAAAGAATTCTCAGTAATCTGTTCTTTAGGGTATGTAATAAATTATACATAGGTAATATTTTCTGATATGATTTGTGTATTTGACTGTTTATTTTGAAGTTTTAATACAACATGTAAGTATGGTGTAGGTGCACATAATATGAACATGTCTACCACTACTGCAAATACTTTTCCTACATACCTACCTAATTTTAACTCCTTTTAAGTTGTCTGGGTTGTTCATACCCCTAGAATTATATACACTTCTATCTGTCACAAGCTTCAGCCACACAAACAACACATATGCACTTCCCATATGGAGACACAGTAGCTTGATTGATGTAGAGCTTAATGTAACTTTGTCCTGGGCAGATGAAGAAAATCCTTATTCCTAAGGCAGTATTTTGCAAGAAAAGCCCCCAAAACTTCAGTTGGCTTCAATAAAAGCAGGAGAGAAATTTGTATTTATATATTTACCTAAATATTGGTGTGTGTGTGAGTGTGTACATGCACATATGTAAAATGATACTTTGCCTAACAAAGTACATATACAACTATATATAAATTTAAAGGACTAGTTTCTTTTAAAACAAAAACTCAGTTAGTTGCATACCTTTGTCATGCACTGGCATTCAACAAGAAGTGGTCCTGTTTTTCTGAAGGTCTTTTGAAACCACCTAACAAATGAAGTGTGCCCATTGACTTTATTTCTAAAACTTTGGTTCCAATTAGTAAATAGAGTGTGTTGCCAATATGCTGAGTGTTTGGCTTAGATGGGCCAGTGGCTCCAGGATACCGGCAGAAATTTTACACTGGCACACACCAAATTTCACTAAATCATGTCACTCCAAAAAAACCAAATAAAGCAACATTTTTACTTCCCTGAATTAAACAAGGATACAGGAAGTATGCCACAAGCTGTATTAGCACTGCTAGAAATGTGCAAAAGCGGGGTAGCTGTACCATGCAAAGCATGCAGAGAGAAGAGGAAACAAAGTACTGAAGCACCAGAGGGATACACGCATTTGTTAAAAGAGATTCTCTAAGCATACTAACCTGCTGGTTCTAATGAATTTTCTACTTTGTCGTTAACATCGAAAACACGATCATGAACACCTATAGTTTTCATACAGCTGTCTATAACAAAAATAGAGATAACAGCCAAATATGTTAGTCAAACACCCTTACATTTCCCACTTTCCTTTTTTCCTCTCTTTTTTTTCTCTCTATTTACTGTACATAATTAGGCTTATTCATATTTTAAAGTCTGTGGCACTTGTCCAAATGCCAGTATAAGTCTTCCATTTGTACAAAGTTCGAGAAACAACAAGTTAGCAACTGCCAAGTAATTCAAACAAGGCTTTATGAAAAAAGATAAGAAAATACAATGAAAATCATAATGCAAACATTTCTGCATGTAGAGAAAAGATACAAAATTTAACCGTAAAAAAAGTAAAATTATTGTTTACTAGACCACACAGTAAAGCAGGTGCTAGAAAGCCACCCTCAAAATCTTAATCTGAAGAACTTACTTGCTGGTCGCACAAACACCTTAAGCTTTAGGCAGGATCTCCTTCCATTATCTGGGATCGCAGAAGCTGTAAAATGAAGAAAAAGGAAAAATAAGTGGAAGAGCAAGAGACTGAAAATCCAAAATATCTTTTGTGCTGAAATAAAATATTCTTTCTCTTTCCTTCATCTGAAGGACTGGCCACACTTCAATCCCTGAACATAAGGACTTCAAGTGCACAAAGTAGCTTGATTATCAAAAAGGATATAATAACTGAAGATTGTATTCAAATTAATTTCTTTATTATTTTACATGGAAGAAGTGAAGCACATGCTACTTTCAATGTTACATTACCTCCTCTCACCTTTCCACACATTCTTCTTGAACACTTGTGCAATATGGTTTTTGCTAATAATGCATGTGTCCACACTGAAAAAATACTTCAGAATACAGAATACTCAGAGAAAAGCTAACCTTGAAATTTTAGGCCATAGACTTCAACAACCCAAAAAGGGATGAAAAAACAAAATTACACCAAAGATGACAGTGGGAAAAATGGAACTATCTATGTACTTCCAGCAAAGTAGAAATACACACCATTAAATTTTACAACAAATTCGGTCTCCATATGCATCGGTCTTTATTGAGAAAATGCTCATCTCACTTCAGTCAAAACATGATCCCTCATGCTATACAGCTAACAAAACAAAATCAGTTTATTCCTACTTTCTGCTCTTCCTCATAATTTCCCATACAAAGTATTTATTTTTAAGAATATTTACTGTATTAGAAGAAAAAAAATAGATGGAAACATGTGTAGCCCTAATGCAAAAGGTCACCCACAAAGATTTAGTGGCAGCACCTGTTTATTTCACAGAAAAAAGTGCTATTGTGATAACTTCCTTTCTATAACCATTCTTGCCCCAAAATACAACATAACAGGGAAATATGCCTGCCTCTCACCACCAGGGCACTGTCTGCCAATATTTACACACCAGTAAATTTCTTCAATATCTGCAATTCTGATATTGTATATTGGCCCACAATTCAACATATGCAACCAAGTAACTTGACTTGAGCAAGAAGATCTTCACTTGTGAAAGACTATTCACTTTTTTTTCTTGAAAACATCTCAAGAACTATTGCTAAAAATATTACCCAAAGCACTGCAGAGGACCTTTCATTGCATTCAAAATCTATGTATTAGGGCAGAATGAATTGCATTTTGCATTAAATGGCCACTACTGGGAAAGACGATTGGCCTGACAAGATGTTAGTTTCCTCTGTTTACCCTTATTTCATTCATGTCCTTGTGTGTGACAAACAACTAAAACAATTTATACATAGACATATGAACTCTTTGTCTTCATGTTAAGCTTACAACAGAATGGCTCCTCAACTAATCTGAAATAAATTCCCTAAGTCTTTGATGATGTGCTTGCAGGACAGGCATCCGATTTTGCCTAGAACTTACCAGGAACTAGTAAATTCAGTACAAACACAAAAAAAGAGCAAAGTAAAGAATCTAATGCAGTTCATGTTGTGATTCTGCATCTAGAAAGTTGCTCCCCTCTTTTAGCAAAAGAAAAATCATGCAGAAATGATGGTCTCCTACCACAATGCCAAGCAGTTAAGAGTTAACAACTGCCTTTGACTATAGCATCTTATCAAGTCAGAAAAATTCCCTCTCTTGAGTTTGCAGTAACTGGTGTGTTACTTGGGGCACAGTATTGCACTCTGTGGCTATCTTCAGGAAATTACGTCATTTCAGTGGCCCTCATTGAATATAAGCAACTGGCTAATTACTTTATTAAGACTAAACAGGCAATTGTAGATTTCTCAAAAGATAAGAATCCTATAATCATTACCAAATTACTAGGATAGAGGTGAAAATCACATTTCCAATATGAGACAAAACTGAATGCCTACAGTAAATTTATCACTGACAGATTTTTTTATACCCAGAAATTATTTCAGAGGTGCATTTTGGCACACATTTATTTGAAGGCAAGTTTTTGCTTTGATGCTTACATGCTCTTGCTTATGTCCATAAAATAAGCACGTTTCACTTATTTAAGCTGCTGTTTATTAGACTACTCTGTTAGCCAGTGACTAACTAGAATACCTGACTAGCTAGGAGAGCTAGAAGCTAATAATATCCCACCTGGAAATAAAATCTATTCTTTCTGGGAAAACAAAAAAATTAATGCTTAGTACACTGAAGCTCATATGTTCACATAATATTTACACCCACATAGGAGCAAATAACAGCTAATGATTTGCCATATTCTTGGGAAGAAAAATATTAAAATCCATTCACTGTTGAAATATTTTCCACCAGTCTTTACACTCTCTTGCAACTGTAGAGTAAATCATGAAGAACTGTCCTATTGCAACCATAACAGTTGCACTTAAATCATCATTCCAGAAACTGGCTCAGTCTTAACAAGAAATTTGAAATAGTGCTTTTCTTCTTTCCAAAGAAATTATGTATTTTCAATGTTTGCTGTAAACTCAGAAAGATTCCTCTTTAATCAGTGTTTAACACCTTCAGAAGGAATAATAATGTCTACCAAAAAAAATCAAGTATCATTTTTCAGCACTTCCATCTTCCTTAACAACCAAGACCAAGGTGATGAAGGGATACATTGCAACTTCTTTGGCCTTCTGGAGAAATTAAATGCTGTTTGCCAAGATGCATGACTGCAATCAATTTTTTTTCTTCCTTTCTTTTACTTCCACCCTCCCTCCTCTTCCTTTCTCCCTTGCATCTTAAAGGAAAAAAGAATACACCAATGTTTTAAGTTTTTGATTTTAGACCAGATGTATCACCCATTGGAAAGCATCAGGGAAGGAGAAAGAGAACTGCTCCTTGTCAGCTGGGATCTATTAAAGCTTCTTCTCAGGTTGCTGCAGTTGCTACATTCCACTGAAATTAGCTACAGTATAAGAAAAGTTGTCCTTTCTAGGTGGTACAATGAGAAATTTCTTTCTCCTTCCTGAATGAAATCAGGTTGGACCCTAAGGCTTTGCTACAAGACTTTTCTATTTGCCCATTTTAAAGGTGATATTAGCTATAAAATACAGGCTAGTTCTGAGAGCAAGAAGCCTCTGATGCTAATGGAACCTGTCTGAAGTAACACTTTCCATTTCAAAAGCCAGAATTCCCACAGAAAAAAAAGGCAATTGATTCCTTGCTGCAAAACAAAAAAGAAACCTTTGAAAAACTCCCCTATAAGGAGCAAAATACATTATATCCACTTATTTTTTCATTAATGATATTAGACTAGAAAAGATCTGACTGCTTTAGTTTGTGTCAGGAAGAATCACAATTGAAAACAGAGGAGGAGCTCTGAAATGTTGTTATTTCCTACATGTTATTACAATTTCTATGATACTTCCCACTTCCCCTGCCCTACCTCACCTTTGCCAGCAACTTCATGAAAATCTCCTGGGTCCCACTCTTAAAAGATGTTTTAGAACTCATGATTACACAAAGACTTGGGTGAGAAGAAAGTGAACACTAAAATCCCTCTGAAATCACAAGATATATTAAAACATCTCAAAGATTATAAAAATAACTGGTTTGATATCTTCATTATTTTTTTAAAATAGGAAAATTCCACAATTGAGAAGAAATTTAAATCATGAGTTCTCTATTCTTCAGATGAGAATTCCATCTGTATTGGTTGAACTAGGAAAAAAAAAAGCACAACTACACACAGGACTAGGTCCAAGCTGGATCTGAAAACAGCCTATAATGACAAATTAGATGGGAAAACTTCTTGTCTCTGAACTGCTTCTGGTTACCATTTTTATACCCTGTAAGGAAAGGAAAGAGAGTGATAAAAATTATTCTCTCCTCATCTACAGCCAAGCCATAAATATTTCCGTATTCACTAGCTATATTTAAATTAAAAAAAAAAAAAAAATATACAACTCCCTCATCTCCCTCCTAAGTAGTTCTCGGCTAGAAAACACATGGTGCATTAGAAATATATTAGACATAAATAACAGGTTAGGTCCTTCCTCAGCCTGGTAACAATTAGCAGAGTTATTAAATTACTCTAGAAAGCTGCAGGTAGAGAACAAAAAAGTAGCATATATAGAAAACAGTTATGCAGTTCAATTACTATGATAAATCCCCAAAACTCATTAAAGGAGTCATCAAGATATGAACAAATCAGCCTACAAAATAAGCCAATTAAAAAGTAAATGCAAAAAATAAATAAATTAAAATTTCAAAAGTAACGTAGTTATCAGGACCTGCTATTGATGTGACAAAAGCAGCAATTATTTCCTTTCCTGAGAGGCAACTGTTTCACTGGCAAATACCTGAGGCTAAGTTTCTAACCTAAAATCAAGTTATCAGGATGTCCCATTTAAAGTGTCTCAACCACTCAACCATCCTATTTATTGATATTCTCATTTAATCAGTCACTACCTCTGCTTGCCTCCTCACTCATTCTTGACTTTCTAATTACAGGATTGCACTTTTCCCTAAAATGCAAGTCCAGATACAGAGAAAAAAAAGGGATCACAAATGCAGTTCAAATCCTTTAGCACTACAAAGACATTTAACATTCATGGCACAAGCCACTCTGGGCCTTATTAGAAAGCGAAGCTGGTTCAGTTGGAAACAGCACTCCATTTATCTGAGGCACTCCAACAGCATCTTTGTTTAGAACATGGGGACACCGGTAAAGAACATCCTTTCCCTATGCAGAAACACAACACCCTCACCATGCCTCTGCAGATACTCTGCAGATGGCAATTCTCTTACTATTTTGTATTTCAATTTCTATCACGAGTTTACTTGGAGTATTCTCTGAAGGGATTATAAAAGCACTGTTTGTGAAACACAGGAGACAAGGCAATGTTCTCATTGCATTTTTGAAAAATGTGATCTATGTTTTCTTCTGTATGCTAGGAAATGCAGCAAACAGTGTCTCCTTGTAGGCAAGAACTGAGAAATTATGCTTGAGAAATCTCACCTCAGTTCATTGCAGATGTACTACTACTAGCACCCTCTGTTACACAAATTCTGTCTCTGATAAGTGCTTCCCAACAACAACCACTGAACAGAAG